CTATTGCAGTTGTACTATCAGCAAAAATGTTCAGAACCGCAGCATGCAGGACTTCCATGTTTTCTTCTGGGTTTGGGGCTCAGTCCCGCCCCTGTCTTTTCTGTCCAGTGGGAGCAATGATCGTCAGCCTGATGACTTTGTTTACAAGTTATAGTTCATTTGCAAAAAAGCACAATGTGAATACAAACCGCACCAAACGAAAAAAATAAAGTCCACTTTTGGTCCAGACCAAACAAGTGGATGAAAAGATTTCCTGGTCTGAAAACAACCTAAAATTTTAACTGAAACAGCTAAAAATCTAAACAACAGCTGCTATTGGTCGACTGATAAACTGGTCCACCTCTACTTTAATAATAAAAATCTTCTAAAGACAGCTTTACTATGAAGTTATGATGAGTAAATATTAAATGCTAGATTTTAGCCTCCAGTTATTGTAATGCTGTGTTGATACATCTTGACTTGTCCTGAATGTTTTGGGGAGTTCAAAGTAAAAAGCAGCCGATCGTCACTGACATCAGGAAGGGTCCAGATGAGTCCTGCAGCAACAAGTGATTCAGTTCCTCCAAACAACTTTATGTGAAAAAGTCGCTGCATGAAAACAACACAAGGCTCTGTGAGGAGGGAAACACACGCTGGTGTTTGTTTGATACGTTGAGTTTATTTTTGGAGGCTGCACACAGTTTCTGTTGATTTCAGGAGCACAAGTTGTGATGCTGTGAAGGTGAAAGAACACGTGCAGGCTGACATATGGTTGTGATGTTGTATTCTTACGAAAATAATCTGTATTTACACATGTGTATCTGTAAATACCWGTTTATTTTTGTTGTATTTTAAGCCCATAGTCATTAAAATCAGTGAGTTGCGGAACTTCAAAAAGGCTCTTTTTATATAAGTTTTATCTGTGCACGCTCATGTGTTTGCCTCATTATAAATCTGAGCTGTGAGGAGGTAAAAGCTGCTGAAATTAGACTGAGTCACAGTCACACAACTCTGTAACAAAGGTCTAAAAACATTCAGTTAACTGGTCCAGCTTCACTTGGTTTCAGAACTTTTAAAGCCAAATGAACAGAAGTAACCAAGTACAAATACTTCTTTACTGYACTTMAGTAGAATTTTTGGTTTTCTGTACTTTACTTGAGTAATTATTTTTCAGCCTACTTTTTACTTCTACTTCTTACAATTTCACACAATTATCTGTACTTTTTACTCCTTACATTTTTAAAAAGACACGAAGTAGAAAGTTGTTACTTTTATTTCATTTCTGCTTGTTTTCATTCCAGTAATTGTAAAAAATAAAAACTATCCATATAAACTGAGCCTCCTATAGAGTGAATTTAACTGTGGTTGAATGAGAAGTATAAATACATAAAACTCTGGTATCGTTTTAGTTTGTACACAAACAAATCATGTCACACTCCAGCWGGACAGAATCATTCAAATMAAAGGACTGTACTTAAGAAGTATTTGTATTTCATGAATTATATTCTTACATTTGGCCGCAGCCCTCAGATAGATTTTCATTTTGGGGAAAAGCTTTGTGCAGCCTTGATATATGTATATAAACTGAAACAGCTGGACTAGTGCATCCTAAATTTAACAACAATTACTTATTTTAAGTACTTAATACTTATTTTCTGCAGTTTTTGGGGAGGTCACCTCCTAATAACTGTCCTTACAGAAAATCTAACTGCTCATTTTAAATCTATACTTTTACTTTTAACACTTAACTACAACAAATATCAGATACTTTAAGACTTTTACTCAAGTAATATTCCTAAAGGAGACTTTAACTTTTACCAAAGTAATGTTTTGATACTTGTACTTTTACTTAAGTATCAATTTGTGGTACTTTATACRACACTGGAAGTTCATTGATGAGTCTGAGGTTCACAACAAAGGAAACAAAAATCTGATGTAATGTTTGTTGCAAAACTTCTTCATGCATCACAGCAAGTTAGATCTTATCACAGCTGATAAAAGTTTTTATGACAGAACATGAGCTGGTTCTGATAATCTGTTTAGGTTTTACTACTTTTTTTCTGCTCTGGTTTCATTTATTTACAATCTAAGGACAGGGAATTCCCTAAAATTAGCTGCATCATGTATTTACAGTCTGTTGCCTCGTAGAAAACATAAAAGGATGAAGACTTTCTCATATAAGAACTGAGCAGAAAACCTTTCTGTCCAAAGTGTTTAAAATATATTAAAATTAATTACGTAACAGACAGAATTAACGCTGTTTGAAACAAATCTCTGTTGGTCCAATCTGAGCCCAGGCTGCTGCCATCAACACAGCACCGCAATGCAGATCCATAAATTTCACCAACGGGCTGCAGTTTTCCTCCCAACACCCTCTTCATGCTCGGATGATCAAACCTGTTCCCTCGTCTTTTCCCTTTTACAACCACCTGACCTTCGGCCATCACCTCCAAACACACAGCAAGGATCATCACCAAAGTCACCTTCGTGTCACCAGATGTTATCCTGCTGCTGCATCACTTTTTGAAGGAAAAAACAATCAATAAAAAGCACAGGCCATTCAAATAATAGGTTTAAAATCTTTTAATAGTCAAAAAATACTTCAGTTTTGGCTTCTTGGTACATAAACAACCTGTTTTTATACAGTGTAGTTTCCAACTGTTAGCAAATAAAAGTGCAAAAGTAGTGGACTCTGTCCTCAGTCCACCATGCAGAGGAAAGGCTACTTCAACGCTTCAAAAAAAAAAAAAAAACAGTCTGTGCGACACCTTATTATTCAGGAAGTGATGCTGTAGATGTCAGAAGGAACTGAACGAGCAGGGGTGACCCCGGCTATGTGCAAAATTAACCGTGTGATCCCACAGATGTGGCTGCAAAGAAAGAGTCCAGAGCAGAAGTCCTCGTGAGTCTTCAGTGTTTGAAAGTCTAAGCAGCAGATCAACAGGCCAGCCTGTTTCCCTCTGAGGATTCGTTTCCTTAGTTTTCTCTTTTTGGTTTTACTGACCCACCATCCCTGCCCTCCCCTTCCCCCGATGGGCTGAGGAGGCGGTCTGTGCAGCAGCATCGTTCAGCAGGGCTTCACAGGTCGGAGAGCTTTAATCCAAACAGAGGACGGAAGAAAACAAAAACTAAAGCAGAGTATAAACCCGTGTCCGGGRGCAGAACCCAGATTCCTCACAGTAAAAGAAGAAACCAGCTGCTGTTACCGCTTCTTCTTCTGCTTTAGAGATTTCCTCCTCTTCACTATCATTTCATACAGCTTGTCCATGCCCTCGTGAAGCCCCTCGCCGATGATGGCGCAGGCCGGCTGGATGTGGTAGGTGGTGGAGGGGGTGAGCTCCTGCAGAGCCAGCTGCTTCTCGATGTCGGCCACCGGCAGGGACCTGGGCAGGTCCTGCTTGTTGGCGATGACCAGCAGCGGGGTGCCCTGGTTCTCCGCGAACTTGGTGACTTTGTGGAGCTCGGTCTTGGCCTCCTCCAGCCGGTCCACGTCCACCGAGTCCACCACGTAAATGATCCCGTCCGTGCAGCGGCTGTAGGACTTCCACAGAGGCCTGAGCTTCTCCTGGCCCCCCACGTCCCAGAAGTGGCAGCTGATGCCCTTGGCCGTGCCRTTGCTCAGCCGGATCTTCTCCGTGTTGAAGCCGATGGTGGGGACCGTGTTGACAAACTCGTTRAATTTGAGTCTGTAAAGAACCGTGGTTTTCCCAGCAGAGTCCAAACCCAGCATGACGATGTGGAGCGACTGGAAGGCAGAGATGTTGGAGAAACTGTTCCCCATGTTGGCCTCTTCTCTTTAWTATTCCCCCCCCTCCCAAAACTGGACAAACACGTTCCTGTAGCTCAGCTCCAGCTCAATGAATCAAACTCCTCAGGTCGAGGAGCAGGTGGGGGGGAGGTTGCAGACCCCCTGGTTCACCCTGTATGATTGATCGGCCCTGCTGTGGCCCTCAGCAGCAGCGAACAGGGAAGCGGTGGTCCTGGGCATTAGTATTCTCCTCACACGCTGGCATCCATTTGGTGACAGAGCAGCACAGTTCAACACTCCTCCAGTAACAGATACATGAGAACCTCTCAGAGGTGAAAAGAACAGGACCTCCGTATCCCCAGAGTCCAGATTCTGTGTCCCTGTGATCCGCCGGTCCACAGACAGACCCCCCCACTGTCCTCCAGGACTAAAACCTGGTCCACGGTGTCCTCTCGGCTCTCCCCTCCGTCCTGTCGCTGCTGCAGCTGCACTGTGAGGCTGAGAGAACAAACCCAGAGCCAGCCTCC